CTTGTATCAACGGTTCAGGCTGGTGGTGGTGGTGTAATGGTGTGGGGGATATTTTCTTGGCACACTTTGGGCCCCTTAGTACCAACTGAGCATGGTTTAAACACCACAGCCTACCTGAGTATTGTTGCTGACCGTGTCCATCCCTTTATGACCACAGTGTGCCCATCTTCTGATGGCTACTTCCAGCAGGATAACGCACCATGTCACAAAGCTCAGATCGTCTCAAACTGGTTTCTTGAACATGACAATGAGTTCACTGTACTCCAATGGCCTCCACAGTCACCAGATCTCAATCCAGTAGAGCACCTTTGGGATGTGGTGGAACGGGAGATTCACATCATGGATGCGCAGCTGACAAATCTGCAGTAACTGTGTGATGCTATCATGTCAGTATGGACCAAAATCTCTGAGGAATGTTTCCAGCACCTTGTTGAATCTGTGCCATGAAGAATTTAGGCAGTTCTGAAGGCAAAAGAGGTCCAACCGGATACTAGCAAGGTGTACCTAATAAAGTGGCCGGTGAGTGTATACTGGGCTTAATAATCATACTATGAGACAACCCCCTGAACAAAGGACTATACCACTTGTGATGAGGAAAGGGTGTACTTGACAGCCACAGGGACGGTTCGGGCCTTGGAAGCATCACGGACGGTGGCTGATAGGACAACAGACGCCAGCTGACCTGGGAGACTTCTGGGAAGGCAGACAAAGGTTACTACTTATAATTTAAAGGTCACATACAAACTTCAGTCCAAACTACTATTATGCACTGATCCCTACTCTTTTAAGTGCAATTGCACCTTATTTGGCTGAAACCAGAGCAGACATTTTGATTTACGTTTTTGTATTTGGTTAACCTCTTTTTAGAGACTAGTCAGCAACATTTAAAGTGTAACATAAGAGAAGACGAGTCAAACTACAGCCAACCTTTTTGCTTCCACTTGGTGACTGAGTGGACTCTCCTGTGCTCCAGACACAATCTCACTCAGATGGCTGTAGTGGGTATGAATAAACATCACTTCCTCGTATCCTAATTAGAGAGAGAGAGGAGAAGAGGAGCAGGGTAAATTAATTTTATGCTAAAGTGATACTCCTGTGCATCACTTCAGTTTCGCAGAGTCACACGTCAAATGCCTCTTTCACATATTAGCATCTGAAGGGTACTTAAAGCAAACACATTGTTTGGTTACAAGAAGATGTATTTACCCATCTGCTCAAAGTCCTGTTTTCAAAATGTCTGTCAATTATTTTAGACTTTGATTAGATTATAAAGTCCCAACTACAGTGTCATATTCTGGAGGCATCTGGACGAACACTCATAGCAAAACTCTAATCATAAATTGTACTGATATTAGCAAAATTGAGAGAATCAGCTGATTTAGTTAATATTTTAATTTGTCCAATCAAATATTATTTAAATGTGAGCAAACAGAGTCTTCCTGAGTTTCTTTTGTAGATGATCTGTACTAATTAAATGTGCCACAGCTTGAAGGATGTAGAGTATAAGAGCCTTTATTACTAAGTGGATTAAAATCCTTTAGCCATAGGAAGGTGGCACAAAAATCATCTCATTTTCAGAATGAGATGATGAGTGCTGCGCATATATGTATGCCTCATCATGCCTCAAAGTGTAGCTGGAGTGGCTTAATTAAGGCCGTATCTTGCTATTACACAGCTTAGGAGCAAAGACAATGCGTTTTTGTGCAGCACCTAAGCCATGGAACGTAAAAACAATGTGGAAAGCATCTGGACGAGCATGCGCATGGGAAAGGCGTCGGCGCATTGTCTTCTGCCAACAGCATGGGGTCTCTCCCTCTCCTGTTGCTCTGTGTGCAGGCAGTCAGCAGGTGTGGGGAAGGCGGAGGACGCTGCGTACCGCAGGAGTGGAAGTTCAGATGTATTGTATTATTTGTATGTATGTAGTATTGTATTACAATGACGCTCTCACTCTGCAATTTCATCTGGCCTAAGAAAGTGGTGTACTGCACTATAATATAAGCGCCATAGCTCTCATGGCATTCAAATGTTTAGTTGAGGGTTTTCTGGTGAATCTAATTCAGCAAAGTTGTCTCCCACCCCTTGTACATTTTATTTGCTCCTATTTTATTTAAAACATACAATGTTCCTGAAGTGAGTTTGTGATTATTTAGCACATGATTTCTCTTATCAGAAGAAGTTTATGATGTGGGCATGCAGTAATGTTCCAAATCATATCATATGTGTGTAGGTAGCATTTTTACATCTTCAAATTTGAGTGCATGGGTTAGCCTCTATGACAAGCGCCTTTTCAAGTGTGTGTGTGTGTGTGTGTTTCCTACCCAGTGTGTGTATCCTCTGGAGCTCAGTGTCAGTGATAAGCAACTCATCCTGACCACTGCTGCTGGCAGTGTGAGAGCCGATCGCAGACGGCTTGAAGACTTGACTACAGCTTTCTTCAGTTAACTTCTGCCACTTCATGTACACATCTGGATGCAAAGACAGCAGAGGACACCCAGGTAATAGAGGCAGGTTAACAATAATGGTAACAATGAGAAGAAACTTAAGAACTTAAGAGTTTGGGACTTACCAGTATACCAAAAATTATTCCCTGAATTCTGAACATGTAACTAATGCAAAAAACACAAAGAGACGGAGTGCAAAACAACATCAGATTAGCATAAACAGTTCTGACAATGACTGTTGCAGTCTCCAAATCACAAGATGTTTTCAAGTGAAATGTGTCACAAACAGCTGCTGTGAATAAAATGTTGCGCTGTGAAGTTTCTCCATCAACTTACATCACTAATGAAACTGTGCCTGCTATTTTAACTAAGCACTGACAGATAATAAATATTATATTTGATGTGTGCTAAGATGTTTTTATTACCTATGTTCTTGGTAGAAAGAGTGAAGCCCCTTCTCTCAGCAGAGAGCATGTCTGCAAGAGTTTCAGTGAGACTGTCGATGCTCTGGACAACAGTGAACGGCCCCACGCTGACCTGTGCGAGAAAAACAGACCCAACGACAAAGATTGAGATTGACTGAGGACAAAGGGCGACTTTGCAGGGTTAGGAAAGTTGAGAAAAATGTTTTACCTTATCCCTTCAGGGGGAAAAATGATGCAATAGAAACACAGGGAGAGACTTTGCTAAGGTAAAAGTGACTATTGGGTTGAATCTGAGTTACAAATAGGGTTCTTGGATACAACCCAGAAACATCTTTTTTCCTGACTGATTAAAAAGGGTTTCCAATGTTTGCTTGACCACAATACAATTGCTAGCAAAAACAGACAACCACATGTCACCCCCTCACCCCATCTTCCGTCAGGCCCATCCACTGTGAAGCCATGTGTGGCTCCAGCATCAAACTCGCCATCTTTACGTAGTTGGTAGCAATGGACACCATGACTTCTGCTGCGTCAGCTCCGGCAGGGTGACTGCTATACATTGCAGTCAGGTCCTTCTCAATCATCTGGGTGAGGTAGAGGACATCAGTGGAGGTGAGGAGGTTCGGGCCGCCGGCCTCCACCGTATGCAGAACAGCCTGGGTCAGCTGCTGCAGCAAGGCTAAATCTCTGTCGGAGGTGGTATTAACACTCAACTCTACCATCACCTGAAGAGAAGAAGGATAGATGAAGATTTGAATGTTATTTACCAAGGAAAAAAGGTGGTTCAATGCATAGCTGCAAGTTCATTAACTCCCTGTCTACACAACCAAGGATCGAATTTGGCCAAGTATAACAGATTTTCTAGGATTCTGTGTTGCTGCAAAGTTGTGAAATCCTTTTAACGTTTTACCATATCAGGGAGTACTGTCTTCTCTGTATTCTCAGGGCGCATTCACACCAGGATAGTCCGGGGGACTCAGTTCGATTGGGTGGGGAATGCTGAAAAATTTCATTCCTTTATTTGGTTTGGTTCACTTTCACACTCCACCTTATAAAAGGGGACCAAACCGCCTGGACAACGTCACGCAGTTACAACAGCTGCTCGTTTGGGGGCAGCATTGCCTGAAACAACCACTGACCAGGAAGAAAAAAGCATGAGGAAGAAGAAAACCTGTCTCAAATGCGCTCTACGTCACTTCCTCTCTTTGGTTCACTTCCTCTCTTTGGTTCACTATATATTCCGTTTGCATTTCCCACTGTATGCAAACCGCACCGGGGTTCACTTGCAAGTGAACCGCAACTCCCAGTTTTCAAGTGGACCAGGGTTTGCTCGTTTGGTCCGCACCAGAGTTCAAATAAGCATTCACTCCACTCCAAACGAACCGAACTATCCGTGGAAGCGCACCAGGTTTCGTTTAATGCGGACCAAATAGCGCTAGTGTGAATGCGTCCTCAGTTGTTGATCTGCCTCAGCACCAATCTCACCAAGATGAGTTCTTGTTAATTTATGGTACTGTGTCACTTAAGAGACGATGTGCCACAGACAGCTAAACAGTCCGACTCACAGGTTTGGTGAGGGGATCGTTGCTCAGTCTACTGAAGAATGGTGTCTGTGGTAAACTGATAACATCCAGAACATCTGCAGACAGAAACAAAAAAAAAATATATAATACAGTCTAATGCAATCTATTACAGCAAGAGCACAAGCAGCCCTAGAAATTTCTTTAGATTCAGTGCTCTCAGTTAAAAATCTTACATCATGCAACGGTTGTATTTATCACAAGACTATTGGATTGGGTTGCATGGCAATGATATATACAGGGTAAGATGCATCTGAGCAAACCATCAAATTACATCAAGAACAACACTCGTAAAAATTAGTGCCATTATTTTCATTGGTACCTTTTCTAAACTGGCAGACGGCCCCTCTGAGTGAGTCACACTTTGTATGGCCCCAGCTGCCAACAACAGGGTCAACAACGCCACACTCCTCATCAGCCTGCGGGCCGTGGAAAAACTCAAAGGAGATTGTCTGATTCTGCAAAGAACTTCCATCCAAGAAGGAATCCATGAACGAATTTGCTAGCACAGTGTAGTTTCCTAGCGAAGGAAATGGAGGAGGTTATTCTTCGTTTTAAATTCTTAAAAATAAAACAGATACACATCAAGACTGAACATCATGTCAGTCCCAATATTGTGGGTGATATACTTCAGAAATCCTCCAAAGTCACAGCTCATCAAGGTGTAATTGAAGACAGGAGAAACAGGCGGGTTTCATTAACCGCAAGAGTTCCAAGATATGATGTCACTTAATGAATGTGTCATAAGTAAGTTTCAAAATGACCCAAAAAGTGTTTTCCAGTTAATTATATCCGCTATCCCTGTGGCTAGTGTACCCTTAAGGGTAACACTTTACTTGAAGGTATCTACATAAGGGTGACATGACACTGTCATAACTATGACATGACACGGTCATGAACCTGTCATGAACATTATATACATGTCATAAATGTCTATGACTGCTGTCATTAAGTGTCATTTGGTTTTTATAATGACAAGTTGACATTGTTTGGGTTGTCTTGATTATGACAACTTGACATCAATTAAAGTGACATTACCAGAAATTGTCTTTGTCATGACAAGTTGACATTAACAAGAAATGCATCTTTTTTTGTGTTTATGACAAGTTGACATAATGATTATTATTGTTATGACAAAGACATCTTCTGGTAATGTCATCCTGGTTAATGTCAAGTTGTCATAATAAGGACATCCCAAACAAATTTAATGTCAACTTGTCATGACAAAGACAACTTCTGGTAATGTCACTTTGATTAATGTCAAGTTGTCATAATCAAGACAACCCAAACAATGTCAACTTGTCATTACAAAAACAGAATTACACTTAATGACGAGTCATAAACATTTATGACATGTACATAATGTTTATGACAAGTTCATGACAGTGTCATGTCACCCTTATGTAGATATCTTCAAGTAAAGTGTTACCCAATTAAGTGTGTAACAGAAACTTGGTCAGTTAGGGAAAGGTTGTGGTCATTGTAAATTATGGTTTAGTTGGGGCAACTTAAATATATCTGAATGTATGTCTGAGCTGGTCTGATGAGGATGAGGAAGGGAAAACTTCAACTGACTGCCATGCCGATTTAAGTCCTATACCTAAAGGATCAGTCCTTTAATAGCTACTGTTCACCACCCTGACTGTCAGCTGATCTTTACAAGACAAACAATAAAGAAAGATTCTTATTCAGTAACCAAAAATCAAATACAAATGCACTATCCTTCCTGCATGTTCAGCTACAACAGGCAGAGCGAGTGTTCCAGGCTCTCGCCGCTCATCGGGGAGCATGATGTCAGCACGGGAGAAGTTTGTTTTGAAGGGTGGGATTCAGAGTGACGTGATTCACAAAACATTTACAGGAACCATTAGGAGCTCTACCGTTTGCCAATTACAACGTGGTCCCCGTCTCCCCTATTCATCTGAGGGTGCGAGAAAAGGAGAGCAAAAAGAGGCCGAGCTCTCCTCTTTCCTTCAGTCTCATTAAACTTCCAGTGGTGCTTTATGCTGGAAAGCAAAAGAGTGTGTGTGCTTGCATGTGAGTGTGTTTGGTCTGTGTGTGTGTGTGTGTGTGTAAGTTTGCCAAAGCATGCCACAAATTCAGAAAGGATTAGGGAAATCCCAATGAAGCGTTTTTGCTGATACTATTTCCAGTCATTAAATAATTAGTACCTGCTAATACTTAACCCTAGAATGATGTTAATATTTTCCTACATAAAACAGCGAGGTTGTTTGGATACATAGTGCAACTGAATTTAAATAGCAGCTGCTGCTTTCTATCAATTTAAGCGATGCATACAAACTTGCAAGCGGCTGTTTTTGATTCAGTGCTTGGTAATGCAGTTAAAAGTTCAGACTGATTTAAAAAGAGAAAAGCCCCAACATAAATTTGGGCACTTTCTTCAGTTTTCTGGAACAGAGCTGGTGAAAAGATCTGGAATAGATCAGGAAAAAGCTCAGATAGCACATGGCCAAAATGCTTGGTCATTTGTAGTTAAGTATTCTTGCAGTCATGTGTTTTCACACTTCATCTTCAACTTCTTTAACTATATTTTTAAAGAAAATAACAGATTTACTTTTTGAAGTTGGTTTTGCAAACTAGATTTCTCATAGTGTGTATGTTACTAACTCTTTCCCTAACTATTTCCCCATTTCATGTTGATTAGTTGACAAAAGATTTACTGATTCCACTGTTTAAGACAAGTACCTAAAGCATTTACGAACTTTCAAGTCCCGCAAAGTATTCGAGAACAACGTCTATGTACATTACATCATGTTTGGGCCTGATAAGAGAGATGACAGGAGTGTGGGAGTAGAGAAAGATGAAACAAAGACAGGGAAAAATTGGGTCTCTTGTATCTGCAATTAATTCACAGCATTTATTTTATCCTGCTAAGAATGCCAGATGGGTGGGGTTTACCACATCAGGCCAGCTCAGATCCTGGCCTGTTACTGAAAAGTTTGTAGTCCAAAATGACTTTCAAATGGTCTCTATGTGATTGTTTTTTTCTGCGTAGCAACCCCACCCAGCCCTCGTGCCAAACTATCTAAACTGTAAACAGCATCTGAAAGCAATGCTTAACTATACTATTGGACCTTGCAGATAGATGCGAGTCCCCTTTGTCTTATTCCTGTGCTCTGTGATTAAATTAGCCTTGATTTATATCCTGGTGAGCCCTTCAGCTTCTTCACATCTCCATGCTGCATCCTAACAAATGTACCTTGACATGGGCTGTCTCTCCACAGCTTCGTAAGGGAGGGCTCTATTTCCATGGCTGCTCCACTCCACTTGAACACCAGCCCAGAGGAAACGGGTGAACACAGCTTTTCCATGGTGTAGATTTCACTGCTGTTCAGCACCCGATCCCATATGTGCAGCTCTGTGATGCTCCCTGAGAATGACTCATCCTTCTTAAATGAACCCCCAAAGGTGTCCTGCTCCTGTCCGATGATGAAAATGCCATCGGGGCCAGTGCTGTTTGAACTTAGGCCTTCACCCCTAGAGACCGCAAGACCGTCAGTAAATAGTGACCAGCGTCCACCATCCTGGCTCCAAGACACGCACACCGAGTGCCAGGAGTCATCGTGGCCGAAGGCTTCTCGGTAAGGCCCATGTTTGCCGTGGACCAGCAGAGCCAGCTGCACGAGCCTGCCCCGGGTCAGGTTCACGCGCAGCTGAAACTCATTAATATATGACTGGATGGAATAAGAAAAGACGGTGGAGATTCCAAAGCAATTTGGATCGAGGCGGAGATGGGTACAAATGGTCACTGAGTCCATAGAGGTAAACTTGTGCAGGAGGCGGGCATGCTTCCTGTCTGACCGCCCGGTGAACTCCAGAATCAGGGTCTCTGAGTAACCTTTAGTTTCACCCCACAAAAAAAGAAGAAAGAGGCATTACTATGGGGAAAAAACAGCTTTCGGGAAAGACAGAACCAAATCATAAAATTCCACTTTAAGGTCCCATTCCTACTGTTAACACTTGGGAAACATTTATTCACAGTGGCGAAGAGTGCTGTATGGCAGCATCCTCAGTCCCATTTCTTATTCTATTACCCTTTTGTTAAGCCAGTGAGGAGGTGGAAAGGTATCTTAGACGAGAAAAACAATGAACCTACTATTTAAAAAGAAAGGGAGCTATATTGTTAATATAAATTGTCACAAATGTTACACTGTACCTACTTGTCAGACGTGTCATGACTTTCCTGGCGATCCACACAGGCTCAGAGATGTTCAGGGATTTTAAAAAGCTGGTTAGCTTTTGCTCTTCTGCTGGGTTGGAGGCAGTAGCTAAGGCCCCAGAGCGCTGGTTACACCATTCCCCTGCATTGTTCCACTGCAGGCGATCAGGCACATACTGATAGTAGGACTCATCGTACGTCTGGTTTGTAATTTCAATTGTGTAGCCTGGTCAAAAAAGAGAGAAGAAGATTAGAAGAATAAGTTGAGAGACCCCTCAAATAGCACCGATAAAAGAATGATAATAAAATCAGGCTAAAATGGCTGACAGCAGGACGTTTTAATCCTTGTCTGATCACATCCAGTGCTTCATGCTATCATCAATGTTTTGGCCTCTGGGTTAAAACCAGAAGTAGAGCGGCACCACTTTTAAATGAAATGACTAACGGTACTTGTGAGAACAGGTTACACACTCAAATCAAATCTAGCACCCAAATCTAGTGTGAATTTTACTCAAATTTCCAGAAAATCCACACAAGAAAACGGGAATGTTTCTGCATTCCCAGCCACTACTGGTATGCAAATACTAGCCGTCAGGCACATCAAGATATGCAGCTGGTGGCACTGATTCTCCAGTTGGGTGCCGTTGAATTATTGCAACAGAAGAGGGCGTAGCAAGATGCAATTAAAAGTGCATTAAGCAAACCTCAAACTATGGTAAACCATGAGAAAAGCATGTACACATATGGCATTTAGGTTTACTTCATGTGTTAATTTAAAGAACATTAGTCTCCTCATCGGCCCACACAGATGTGATGTTTATGAGTGCCGCCATTTTTCGCCTCTTCAGTGGAGCAGAGCTTATGTGACACTTAGGTGTTGTTTTTTTTTCAATATACTAACTCGACTATTTGCTGAACATACTCTTTTTTTGGGGCTGTGACCATCTGCTCTATAGGACGCACTGTCCCCACCCTTTGTCAGCCAGAGTTAAGGAGACTGAAATTTGGAATGGAGGTCAAGTGTGTGCGTATGTGAAGGTGTGTTTGTGTTCATGCCAATTGTGTAAAAGGTAGTGGTGGTGGCGGCGGGGGTTGGAAATGGCCTGTAACAAACAGGCATATAACTTCCAAATGGATTTACAGGCCAGCACATGATTAGTCATGAGTTAAAGGACAGCTGAATACCTGTTTTTAGATTAAATGAGGTTTAAGTAGAAAGTAACTCACCCGATATGACGTTACAGCTGTGGAAACAAACCTGAAACATAAGTCAGTTATAAGTTGAGCTCATTGCTGAAAGTACGAAGCAACAGAACACTGTGTATTTTCTGGCCGAACATCACACCAAACAGGCTACAATCAAATGTTAATCCATTTTTAAAGGTTTGTGTTCAATTTAATCCATGATCAATTTCAACAGATAGCACAAAAGAGGAGTTAAATGTCCAGTGTGTAGGATTTTAGGGCACCTATTGGCACAAATGGTATATAATTTTCATACCTAACCTTGTCACCTTGTTACACTCTGTTTTCAGTCAACTCGAAGGAGTGAGCGGTTTTAAAGTCTGGAGCCAGGCAACATCACTATGTTTTGATTAGTTTCTAATCACCCAAAAATAAGAATCGTTGTGTTTTGTTACCTTTGAATGCGCGATTTCTATCTACCTCAGGCAGCGGGTCCTCTCCAATGGGGTCGCTATGCTGTTTGCAGCCCATAATGGACGAACCAAACTCTGGCTTTAGATAGGGACACTTGTTTTCGCATCGGCCGCTGTAGCTCTCTGACATGCTTAGTGAATGGGAGAAGTTGCAGTACTGCAACTTCACCACTAGATGCCACTAAATCCCACACACTGGACCTTTAATTCCTGGCAAAATATTTTCTGCTAGGAGCTGCCTAGCAGAAAATATTGATGGTTTTAATTGACTTTCTAGCAGATCGAAAGCCAGCATTTTCTTTGTACTGGCAACAAATGACCAAAGTTCTAGCCTTTAAACAGAAAAATCTTGGCATTTAACCTGGGAACAAAATACAGAAAGAGAGCAATAAGAAACTGAGCACAGGGCATGTTCAATATCCACTAATATAATACAAACACAAAGGCATTCATGAAGACATGAACCACGTAAATTCATAGTATCACAAGATTACTGTGGCTTTTCTTCACATCTTTACAACCTATAGGTGTGAGGCACGTTTAGAAATCAACTATTACACAGTCTCTTTGCATTTTGTGCCTAAATGTTTACGAGAAATGAGTCAAGAGAGTGGAACCTATTGGGATAAAGGCGTTTAACACAACTCTGAAAAACTTTACCTGATTTAAAGTCATGTGATTGTCTAAATAATCCTACAGGTATGAACATGTAAATACAAAGATCAAGTACTTACCAGCAGTCCTAATATATTGGGGAACAATAACCAGTGCATCCTGAAACAAACAAACAAAAAATGTGTTGGTTAAAAATGGAGCTTAATCTTATTTAACTATGACTGATTATCTAAATTAAGTATAAAAGCAAAATGAATCGATTTTTTTTACCTGAACGAGTCGTCTTGATAAAAACTTTCTTGCGCGTCTTCTCATTCCAACCGCGTCGTGTCAGTGAACGCAGCATTCAACCACTGAAGCGACGGTTTTCGTGTTTATTCCCGCGAAGTTAGAAATGTATCAGCGTGTGTTTTCTTTGTCAACTGTGAAGTATCAGCCCGTCACTAAAGTACAGAGGGAGCACTGGTGTTAGCTGACTCCAGAGAGCATGAAGGGAGGATGCAGAGGAAGCAGCAATGAGGAGGAGGAGGAGTGGGTGTAACCTGCAGCGAGCACAGGGCTACCAAAAGTAGGGTTCAAGGACCTACGGGAGCCGCCAAGCGTGTTCCAGGCGGTCTGGTTGAGCCAGAGGCTTGCACAATGATGTAATACACAAGTTCATGTGGATCTATTCATCAAGTTAATGGTTGCAGCCTGAAGTGTATCAACTAGGAGGTGACATAATAAACTCTGGATCCTTTAGTCTGATGCATTAGTTTCAAAAATAGGTGACGGGATCACTAGGCAGTCCCCCACCAATAATAATAATACTATAATTATACACTGAGATGAATGTAGAGATACATTTTCAGGTTTCATGTGCACCTACAACAGAAACAAGCAAACAATATCATGGTAATAGTAAGAGTATAGAGATCAATATGTAGTATGTGTAAGCCTGTGGAGTCTTGTCATGTAATTTCAGTGTTTAATTCACTACATTTAATTCACTAAGGGAGACTGCAGCATATCGTATGCTCTGCTGAGAAGGTGATTGACCGTAATCTGCTGTCCCTCCAGGACTTGTAAGCCTCCAGAACCCTGGCCAACCCCTCCCACCCTGGACACAAACTCTCTTGTTACACCTCCCTTCTGGCAGGAGGCTATGATCCATCAGGACCAAAACCTCATGTCAGACAGTTTGTTTCCAAATGCAAAGGGCCTTGTCAACGAGGCACGGGACCTCACAGACACTGTCTGTATCAGGAGGTGTCCAGACTTTTGGGGGCCAGATTAGAGAATGTGAAAACATCCGGGGGCCAGCTGCTTCTTGCATCATCTGTGTTATCAAAAAAAAAAATTAAAAATCACACAAATTAGACACACGCAAGTGTTAAATGAAAAAGCTTTCAACTTTCCTCCGCTCCTGAAAATTGTGGCCCTCGCTGTCGACTTTATGCTACTTCTATGTGGCCATACTTAGCAGGAAATGTGTGTCTCCGTACATAGTTCCTGCTTGGTGCATGTCTTCAAACTGCACGATGATCCAGCCATCGTGAGGCGAACAGAAAAAATGCAAAGTTACCTCCTTGATTAACCAATATTGTGTGGCGGCCACATAGAGTATATTTTGAAAGAGGGGTTGACGGCTGTTTTAAATCGGCCCAAGAGCCACACTGGACCCTGGGCCAGACTTTAGACATGCCTGGTCTTTATGCAGTACATAATTGCACACCTTGCACAACACATTGCACATATTTGCTCCACTGTCAACTTTTGCATATTCCCCCATCCTGCACGAAACTGCAGCTTCTTTATATGCTAAGCTATATTGTGCTATATTACTTTTTAAATTGTCATATCTTTATAGTAACTTTTTTAGTCATTTGCCTTATTATTATTTCCTTTTAACACTGTATGCTTTATATTTGCAACAAAAACCAAAGCAAATTCCTTGTAAGCGAAAACCTCCTTGGCAATGAAGGAATATGTATATGAATGTTTTGATTGCTTAACATTTCCCACTGACTGTATTGTCGTCACAATCAGTTCACTGTTTACAGAATAGTGACATGCAGTATGAAAGCTTTGTGTCCTTGTCAAACCAAGCCACATGAATTTATTGCAGAAACACAAGTTGCTGTATTATTTTGACACATCAAATTTACCAAGTGATACAAAAGCATTAAAGGCAACAAAACACATCTGTGTTAATGTACATGAAGAAACACTGATTATACCAGTCCCTCCTGAGTGCAAATAGCTGCAGAGTGTGTCGCACAATATATAAGAGCTAATCTTAATGCAAACGTGAGAACAAAACATGCCGTCGTACAAGAAATTATATACAGGAAAGAGTGGGGAGAAAGTGTGTAATATATATATATATTTCTTTTTTTTTACAAAACACAGTACCTGAGTTGCTGTATATTGAAATGTTGTATATTTAAATGAATAAAAGTGACATGATGATAGGAATTACTGCTGTAGTTTGAAGCATACACATATTAATTAGCATTAATTTGTTTTCCCCCATTTATTACTTTCTTTTTAATTGAAAAAATAGCCCTTAAAAAAGGCAGATGTTGCTCACATTTAGAGAGCAGACAGGGACGAATGTGAGTAACTTCTGACCAACTTGGATGGCAGCACTAAAGAAGTCTCTGCAGTGTTTTCTGCCTGTGATGCCAGGTTGGTGATACCAGAGTGTGCAAAAAAAAAAAATCCCCACGACCCATTTGTTATCAGAAAAAGTTTTGTCTACATCAGCAGTTAATTTTTTACAGTAAATCATACACTATGTGAGCACATCATAGAGTAACACATTATATAAAAGCACATCACACCCAGTGTAGGCTGCCTGTGGCCGACACACCTGCAGGGAGAGGGCACACTACTAACTTACTCACGACTCGATTTCTAACAGCATTGTGAGTCTCTTTACTTGAGGTTTCATCCTCTGTGCTCTTATCTGAAGCGCCAGAGCTCCTGCTCTCTCCCGCCTCCTGTGACCTCCAGGAGGACAGGGACTGTAGGGCAGAGTGGAGCTCGTCGCGTGCGGTCAAGACGCTCTGAAGAACGGGAAGCTGCAGGGACAGCGTCAGCGCTCCGTCCTTGGACAGACCGGTGATCAGCTCACCAACAGCCTTGGCAGAGGAGGAGATCAGCTCTCTGCTGCTGCTCAGGTTGGAGTCTCTGTCTTTGGCTGGAAAGAGAATGACAGTCAGATATCGGAGGTGACACCTACAACTGCAGTGATGTGGTTTAGATTTAAGCTGAGGAGTGTTAATTTGTCTAACCAACCATAAAAACCTACAATATTTATCCAAAAAACACCACAAGTATTATGGCAACAAAATAAAAAAAAGTTTCAGCCAAACATCCAGACTGTGTGTATGTCACAAGCTTCACCTCGCAGAGCGGTAGACAGGGAGGAATGCAGCTGTCTGATGGCCTGGTTCAGCTGGAACAGCTTGGTTGCTGCAGTCCTCAGTCTCTGCAGATGGGAAGCCGAGGCCTCCTCCTCCCCTTCCTCCACCTCCTTAGGGTCAGTCTCTCTCTCCTTTTTGGAAAAAAAGCACACCCAAATGATGAATACAAGACAGCAAATAAACAAGACTAAATTTAACACAACTGACAATTACATAATAAAGAGCACACCATTGGACACTATATAGTTCATTAAAAATTGTCAACAACCAAGCTCAATTTAAATTAACTTTTACTGATAATCCTCAGCTACATGTTCCCAGCTGAACTTGATATTTTAACTAGGGATCTTTGAGTTGTCACATCCAGTTCTGTATGTAGCCTAATACCACTTTAGCAATCACACAGATGCATTACAAACACTCTCACACACACACAGATGCAAATGATGTCACTGAATGAATGGGGCTTCATGGTGATGTGCTCTTTTCTATGACATAAATCTAAAGGCATCCTTCCCCCAGTTAACTACAGTAAAGCAGAAAATGTAAAATGAAAAAGTTATATATTTAAATATATTAACAGATACACTTTAACATTAGTGTATTTTTTTTTACTAGCTGCCATAACAATTCATAAATCCTTGGAAAAGCAACTTTTACCCTTTTATACCAACAGCTGAATCACTAATGGGGCTTTTCTTATGAGCTGAAAACTACAATGTAATTTACAGATGCATTTACATCAGCGATCGTGCACATGTGCAGTCCTGTGTTAAATTCTTTGCTCAAATAAAAAAAAAAAAAACACAACAAGTAGTTGCCTCAGGCTATAACTCAAGTTTATTTGACTACAATGACATTATGGGCAGCAAAATGCCCCAGCGCTTATACGTGTCAATGATTGGTTTTAACAAAAAAAAAAAAAACTGCTACTTTGTGTGGCTAAGATAACGGCAAACAAGCCTGTTAGCTGTGACTGATGCCACTTCATTCAACACATTCATTACCTGAACGATCGTCAAGGGGCGACTGCGGCGAGATAAGCCTACAGAGCATTGAGCTTTACAGGAGCAATAAAGGCTGAGTGGCATCTTTAACAGGGCTGCTGTGTGTGGGGGTATTAATCTGTAACATTGAAGCCTGTGTCGCGACGGAAGACTGTTTTAAACCTTTACATATCCAGGGAGGCTTTGCTGAGCATGTATTCTGTCTTTCAGCTGTAGTTTACCCAAACAAATACCAGCAGTTTTTGGAATGGAGCTGTGGATAGCTGATAGCCAATTCCATTAATCAACTTCTTCATAGACCTTTTGAGCTGTCATAGTAGAAAAAGCACACATGTTACTAATGACTCTGTCGACGGCTCTGTTCTGTTCAAGAGTCCCAGTTAGTGTGACAGTGAGCATGCACAATACCAGGACCCTGAAATCTAAGCAGCTAAATGGAATTCAGCCATCTTTAACTTCATTGTTTACACCTGTGCTTTTCCTACTGTGACATGTCAAAAACTGAGTCAGGTGTTGGCACCAGGGAAAAAAAAGAGGGGGAATTATGGGAGGGAGGAGCTGGAGAATTGCTGATGACATTTCTAGAGGGCCAACACAGTTGACACCCATGTAATTGCAAATGTAAATATTTAGTTTCCTATGATTTAAACCTTTTTTCAAATGTCACCTTAACTCTTAGTAACTGGTTTTGCTGCTGAAACTTACTGTGATGTGGCAATGCATGTAGTTCTGCAGAGCACAGGCTAAGTCAAGCGTCTTGGATTTTAGGCTCTGCAGCAGCTGTAAGCACAGATGGATTATCAATGATTACACCACATTTTAAGATTTTTTTTACTTACACCATTACAGAAAGTAAATTATCAACACATAATTAATTATATAACCATGACAACCAGTGACAGGATCATGATCTCTTACTGGGTTCCTGGGGTAGGCCAGCTGAGCATCTCTCAGCATCTCTCTGGTGATGGTGAGGCTCTCCTCCAGGAGAGCGCTGACGCCCTTATTGGTCCCCTTCAGCAGACACGTGACAACTGATTGCTGAAAAGATGTAATCAT